TCACCGCATATAGTCACACTTTTTGAGGCTGTCTGAGAAAGCCAATGTACATTTTCCAAACATCTCCTAGCTCCCCTTCTACTTTGTCTACTCCTCCAAAATATTGCTATTTTTAAAGGTTTCCACACATTTTATGCTTTTCAGTTGACTTAAGTCAAAATGACTCTGTAATGCAATCTCTGCTAAAGGCTGAGACAGGTGTATACAATGTACTTATTTTTTATTTCAATGCTGGTACTCATAAATCTTATATACAAAGCAGCTAAAAAGTATTGTACATGATAGCAGTATCTAACAACCTAATTAAAATGCACATAAAAATTACTAGTAAAGGAAGGCTATATTAAGAAATTTCTGTAAATAACTACTCTTTTGGATAGACTGTCTTAAACTATGGATAATCAATGTTTTGAAAGATTTTACCCTAAATAGAAAATACATTTTAAGAGAGGATGTTTATGAGAGAAGAAGAAAGTTAGTATTACGCTGTATTGAGCTAGTGCTACCTGAGTTTGTGTTCAGTTTCTGTACTGATGACACTACTGACCTTAGAGGTCACACGATTTCTCTGGACTGGAAGTTTCCCTATAGAGGAAAGAAGGATGACAATTTTTGTATTTTCATCTCCTAAAAAAAATTTGATGGATGTGAAAATAGCAGTTGGTATACTAACTTTATTTTTCTCTCTTCTATTCTTAAGAACTGTGAAATAGTGCTTACCAAGTAGTCAGGTAACTGTGTTGTATTCATTCTCGTAATCTTCTCCTACAAAACTTTAAGAATTAATATCATATCCATTTCACAGCTGAGAAAGCTGAGCCACGAAGGTGCCAATCATCTTGCCTGAACTTAACCTGCAATCTTCAAGTAAGTTGCTAAACCCTATGCATATTCTTTCTTTTAATGTTGCTAAGACTTTTAGCTAGAAAGTTTACTGTAATTGTCTGTGAAGCTCCACCATGGCCTTATTTTCTGTCTGTTGTCTGTTTGTTTGAGACAGTGTCTCCTTATGTAGATCAGGCTGTCCTTGAACTCACCTGTACTCCAACTTGGCCTTGAACCTGAGATGCCTCAGCTTCCAGAGTCCTGGGGTTACAGGAATCCACCACTATGTCTGGCCACCATGGGTTTTTTTAAAGTAAACTTTATTATTTTTCAAATGAATAAATTGAGTTAAAGCAAAGTTAATTTGTTTTGCCCAATATCAAGAAGTAGTACTAGACTGAGCTCAAGAATTTGACTCCAGAAACGGCTGTTCCTGTTGACTGAACTATTATTTTCATTAAATAACAAATTTAATTAACGTTCTCCTTCACTTTAGAGGGACTTCAGATGGCTTTGAAGACATGTTGTATGTTACATAGGAATCATGCAGGAGCTTGTGTAATTGTTACAAATTTAAATGTGGAAGTAGACTGACACAGTGGGATGAGGGAGGAACTGGGAGGTGTGGGTTAAAGTCCTGCTCTGTCACTGTGTCACCCACACTACCTGTGAGGCTACGGCTATGACACTTTCCCTGTCAAACATTACCCTGGCTACCTGAGCTCACAGTTAGTTGGACAGAAATAGTTCCATGGCCTCAACTTGACTGTGAAGACAATGAGAAGATGTTTCGTGCACCAAGAAGGAACTAGGAATGGTGATTACTAGTGATTTATATGACTCTTCATTTTTTTTTTTTTGGTACCAGGGATTGAACTCGGGTCCTTGCGCTTGTGAGGCAGGTGACAGAACCACTGAGCTAAATCCCTGGCCCATGACTCCTCATTTCTAATACAGGAAAAATAACAGCAGTATGGATTTAATGCGTGGTACCCATAGCAAATGTATACAAACACTGCTCAATAACACTCTTGAAATACACCTATTGCAAAATGAGGAAATATTTGGGAAAGCTAAGATACTTATTATTTGTTATATTTTCTTAATGTGATTTTTGCTACACTGTGCTCCTCCAAAAATAAAAATTGCACTTGTTTCTTATTTACTGTGTTCCAAACATCAGGTGTTATCTTATCTTCACATTGACCCTACAATGTACTGTTTACTATACTTATTTAGTATATGAGGGTATTATTATTATATAAGGATATTATTTCTTTGGACAAATGCCAACAGATCTATGAAAAGAGACAATGATTTTGGCACCATAGCATGCAAAATTTAGTAAAACAACTATTGCTAATCTATTTTAAGGAATTGAATAAAATTAAGATTTAGTGAGCACCCACTAAATGAGAGACATAATAATCTGGCTTTAAATTTCTGTTCCATGTTGCCTTCACACAAATCCTCTAGGATAAGTACATTAGGATATATTTCATACATGAAAAAGATAAGACATATAGACTCTAAATCTAAATATGTGCTCATGCTCCTAAAGAACAATAAAGTAATTAATAATTAAAATATATTAAAAATAAATTCCCTAAGGATGTTTTTGAACTACTTTAATATGTGTGTAATGGAATATATAGGTTGATGGAATTTTTCTCATCTTTTCACCGAATTTTTCACCTATAGTCTTTTAGTGTGTTACCTGAAATCATGTTTCGTTATGCACTGATTTTTCTTAATTTTGCTTGCTCAGATTTTTATTGAAACATATAAAATTACTAAGAAAAAGACATTAGTTAGTTAACACAAAGATGGAGGAAATTATATATAACTAAAATAAATAATCATTGTACATAAACATTTTTTCAGATTGAATTGCCCCAGAAACTCTGACATATAGACTTATGTAGCTAATGCTTAAGTTCTTTGAGGTTTTCATTGACTCGATCATTGAAAAAGTTTTATGAGACCAAGTTATAATGCTTGAAATTTGTAAAATATTTTTATATCAGGAGAGAAAAGATGATGTTATTTCATATAAAAATGTGTATGAGAATAAGTTAAAATGTCCTCTTTCATTATTTCCACCTCAACGCTAGTTACTAAGTTTAAAACAATGTTGAAAAGAATATGCTACATTCTACTCATCATTTATTTATGGATTTATAGCATGTTAAATATTCTGGATCTTTGTGACTTCTCACTTCATCTGGGTATACTATGGTGCAGCACATTCATTCATTACAAACAAGTGAAAAGAGATTAATGTGACCAACTAAATTTTTTTAACTACAAGCTCAAAATTAGACTTGTCCGTGTGTATATGCATGCACGGACATATATCAGGCAGAATAAACACATTAATAATGGTTGCTCTGTTTGATTTGGTTTAATTACACATTTGTCACTCACTTAGTATATCTTGGAAACTGGTCTATGTAGAAAGCCCTGGATTTTCCATTTCATAAGCAGAGGCATCATTTCATTTACATGAAAGAAGTCATCAAAATGATTGTTACGAAGCAAATATTTCATTATGTAAAGCTCTAAACCCATTCTAAATAAACTATCAGCAGGATCAATACTTATGAGTTATTTTCACACAATTTGTTTAGCTTTATATGAAAATAGTATAAAATGTATACAGAGAATAATGTAGTCTTAGCAGGTGTTTTATTAATTATTTAAGTTATTCTTCATAATGGATGGATGAATTTTATTCTATTATATGACTGACAGTAATAAAGAGTTTACTTCAGGCCACATATCATTTTGATCAATATTATAATGCTTTATGTTTATCTTAAATGTAGCTTATTTACTCCATCATGTTATGCAGAACACCCAAATGGCTATGCTAGATACACAAAAAAGAAAGCATTCATAAATGTATGTAATATATTGTAATACATCAGAAGCATTAGATGTTTTGTATGTACAATTTTGCTCTTTTTTCCTTGTGCTTCATTTTTTAATTTGCTTTGAATCAGAAAGTCTTGTAATTTTTCATTTGCATATTTCTTTTCAAACTAAAACTAGAAATGAAGCTTAAAGTATAATTCTTAGTGTGATTTCCTGCCTATGAATCAGAATTAAACTTAAGGAGAAAAATATTAGGGTAGTTGAATTATTCTTAATTAAAAATAGCTTTTAAGATTTGAAGTTCAAAATATCTCATTTTTCATTTAAATTAAATACAAGAAATATCTTTGCTTGGCTTATTTCAATGAAAAATGAAATTATATTATGTTATGGATTGGGAATAAATTTATTGTCTCTCTTTCACACTAGGATATTAACTTTATGAGTATTTGTCCACTAATGAATCTCTGTGCCTTCCATAGTGACTGGTTTACTACAGTTGCCCACTCTTTATATATGTATACTGTTAAATAAATGCTGAAAGAAAATTGCACTGAGTCAAAAATATCAAAAAATGAATTAAAAATATGATCAAGAGATCAAAAACATATCACAAATACAATTTATAGGCATACATGCAAATATATTGTACACAAATAATTTATATAAAGTTTATTATTTTTATGTTTTCAGTTTAATATTTGCTGTTGAGTTGATTACTTTCCTGGTAGTACTGAAAGTGAAAATTTTAAAAATAGCTTAACTTCAAGACTACAATATTTATTATTTTAAATTCACTTGCTAAATTTCTGTATAGAATTTGTCTTTTGGTCTTTTCCGAACCAATTCACTAGTCATACTTCAATATAATAAAATATATAATTTATTAAATAGAGCTGTCTGAATACTTTTTAAAAGTGTTATTTTTATAGAATTTTAGCTAAATATATTATGTATCATGTGACAAAAATGGATTTAAAAGATGCTACTCTTTCAAGAATGAAAATTATTTTCTTTTGCAATATTATTAAAACATGAAACTAAGACAAACCAACAAATATCGTTTTTATCTTACCTGGAAATACAACATTCAATAAGGAGGGTAAAACTCAGAACCCTTTCCCAGTTAGTAATATATCTATCTTAAAAATAAAAAGTATATTTAAAAACATCCATGTTACCATATATATTCAAGGAAAATCATTATGAACCGTTTACTCTGGTTACAAGATTTTTTTTATTTTGTAAACTATACATAAACAGTAAAAAAGAAAATTCATTGTACTTTAAATATTATGTAAGGTCAACATTAAAGATTTTATTTAGAGTGTATAAATTAAATGGACAGAACCCAACAGTTTTGTTTTCAATGAATATTATAATATTAAACCAGTTAATCTACTGTTGAAATTAAAGATACCATTGTGTATCATTTAACAATTTTCTCCATTTTTATTATGGGCACTAAATCGTTGGTCTGATATACTTAAAAGTGATGTTGTGCCAAAATGTCTACACAATTAACATGCTAACTAAAATATAGCAATTAAAGTAATTTTTGCTATAGTTAAATCTTAAATGCCACTCTTCACATTAATTATAAACAAGTCCACATGGCAATTATGTAACAAAAGAAAAAAAAAAGAAAGAAACATATTCCATTTTCTTCATTCCAGCAGCAGTACCTTTACTGTGTTAATTTGTTAATTAGGTGTATTTAAATATTGCCTAATATCCTATATTGGTATTCATGCTAAACCTTTCTATTTCTTTTGCAAGGCGCCATACAATACGTTCTCTAAATTTTGGTACTACTAACAAAAATGGCGTAATTCTAAGATTAAATACAAATTTTTATCTGAAACAGTAAATAAAATCAGAATTAACATTTTAAAAATTGACCATAAGGCAAATGAAAAATTGTTACTGAAAATATGGCAGAAATGAATCTTTTTTGTTTGTCCTCTAACTTAAAGGATATCCTTAAATTGCTGGTCAGAAAGATAGAGGAATATGGAAATCATGCTGTTTGAAAATATTAAAATATACATGAGACTGCAATTAAAATTAAAATAAAAATTAGAAAAACTAAGATTTTTAAACTTTCAGAATCCATTATTTTCCATACTTGCCACTTTATAAAATATCCTATCATACCCAGAAAACATCATAATCAAAAACTCACTGTTAATAAGGACTGTAAAATGGTCATTTTGTTTATCCAACTATGTGGTATCTCACTCATGGACCCTGACATTTGGGAAGATGCTACTTGGATTTGTGATTAAGGTCATGCATAACTTTATAAAATCTTTGGGTTCCAGGTCACACACAAGTTATCGTAAATCTAGCCTAGAGTATCTTAGAGTAAAAACAGCACATAGGTTCCCAAGCCATATTGGTTGTTACTTTGTGGAACATTCACAAAGTTTTCTATTTTTTATGAAAAATTTGTTGTAGTAGCTCTTCACAACTTTCTTTTGCCTGGCTATCCTCCATATGTATTTTCTTTTTCTCTAAGGCATATAAAAACTGACAATAAATTATTCTTATTTAAACATAAAGTTCTATAACTTTTAGCTTCAATATTTGAGATAATTATACAAAATAGATGTGAGGTCTAGAATCATTTTGTTTTGGGGAAAAATGGTAATTCTCAATAGGGTGTCACTTTGTAAATATTAGAAATGTGGAATTTATTGACTGCAGGTCTCATTGATCAAATGTATCCATCGTGATCATCATCATCGTCATCATCATCCCCTTCATCTTCATCATCATCTTCAATTTCTTCTTTGTCATTCATCATGTCTTCTTCATCATCTTCATCATCAGCCCATTCGTGGAAGTCTCCACTTGCAAAATCTCCAGAGATCTCAAAATCTATAGCTAATAAAAATAAATACGTATTTTAGTTAAGTGGTGAGTGTAATAATTTATGAAGAAATATTAAATTCTACTGAAAACTGAGGAAATTAATAGCATTTTCAATTTTTTCTTCAGCTTGTTTAACAAAAATGAGAAAAACTTCATTCTCTGAGGAAAAGTTACATGATAAAACTATTATTTGTTAAAAATTTATGTGCTAATTGCAGAATTGTGCTATGTAAGATTTCTAGTTCAGTAATACTGATCTCTGTTTAGTTTTACTAAAAGTTTCTGTCATACTTTGACTCGTACAAATATATAAATTTTCTTCTACAAGACTATCAGGGATATAATTTTTCCCTAAAATATTTACTTCCTAATCCCTGGAACCCATTGCTATGTTTCCTTAGGAAGAAACTGCACATGTGATTACATTAAGGACCTTGAGATGAAGGGAGCATCCTACTTTACACATGAGGACCCAAATTATCACTTGGTCATTAAAAATAAAAGAACTTTTCCCATCTAGAGTTCAAGGAAATATAATCACACGAGAATGGTCAAAGAGATGTAAAATTGGTGGTTTTAGTCAGAGCAAAGTATCCATAAGCCCAGGACTGTGGGTGGCCTCTAGAAAGTGGAAAAGACAAGGGGATAGATTGTGCCCAAGTGCCTTCAGAAGGGAGCACTGCTCTGCTGATGTGTAGAGGTTGAGCTTGGTGAGACTTGTGATTGACCTGTGGTACACAGAATTGCAAGAGCTGATTAAGCTGCTAAGTTATGGGGGATTTGTTACTATGGAAACAGAACACTAACACTGCTAGACAATATTTCAAAAAATATTTAAAAGTAACTATATTCTGGAGGTATTAATAAACATACATCTCAGCATGTACTTACTTTTCAAATGTAGTGTTTATTTTTTTGTTTCTAATACTTATTATTTTTTTGTACCGGGGATCTAATACTTATTTTTATAATACTTTGGTAACTATATGAAACTTATTAATGTAATTCATTGTTTATAAATGGCTGATATCACAATGATACACTAAAATATCCATTTTATGCAAAGAGAATATTGCTTTCCACCTGTCTGTATTTTCTTAGTAACAACATGCCAAAAACACTCCTCAGAAGACCATGTTTCCAAAATAATTTCTTTGTTTCCTTATTGAAATGATTTCCATATAATTTTTATTTGTAACATAAAGAATTAAAATTCTTTATCCATCACTGACATCAGAGATAATTAAAGTAACTAATAATGCAACCACTATAACTATACATTACAAAGACATGTTTTTTACATGTAAAAATTATACAAATTAGCCATCTTTTCTGTTTAGATCTAACTATGTTGGCCATGTCAGAAGGTGAAGCCAAGTTAATTAAAAGTTTTATGAAATAAATAAACTCATATTTTGAATATAAGGATTTTTTCCTAAATAATCTTTGTCAGTTTGAAAATTGCTTAAGAATACATTTAAATCTTTTCTAAAATGCAAAAGTAAGCACTTTATTTTCATTTTTGACCATTTTTCCTAATCAAATCACAATCCATTAATTTCTGCTGTGTGTGCAATTTTGCAATTAAAATTCTCCATAGGACAATCAAACATCCTGATTTGAGTCTTGCAGTCTGGAAAATTATTTTCTGAAGTACAAAAGATACCACAATGAAATTTTAAAATATATGCATAGGATGTTCAACTTAGTTGTTACTTTTTTGGTATGTACACAGACATTTATGTTCATAAACTAAAATATTAATTAAAAGCACCTTTTAAAAATTAAACAACATTTTTCTCACCTAAACATAAGGAAATAAGCAATATATTGATATAGCTGCAAGTTACAGAAGGTTTTGTTTGTTTTGGTTGGTGAGTGGTGAGCTTACTTATCCACTCAGTTGCCCTCTCTGGAGATATGTACATAAAAGGGTATCCTGTGAGAACATGCCATCCACTAGCTTTCAGCGACTTCCAGTAAAATCAGTGACAAAAATCTGCCTTATCTGAGAGGAAGAAGAAGAATCTGACAGTTGTTTAGGAAATCTGAAGTAGAAAAATGAACACAGGTTTTAATTATTCTCCCCCAAATATCTAAATTAGGCACTTGCATATAATGCAATACAGATTTTTCATATGCTAGGAAAAGTCTTCTTTCCATTCCCTTCACCCTTACATATAACATAGTCTGTGCAAGGTGGGTCTTTATTAAATGCTTTAACAAATGTATTAGGCACTGGAGTACTTAAACCTGAGCTTGGAAAATGATTAAAGAAACAAACTTTCTCCTTACCACAATTGGCAACACCATTTATTCTGGATCCTATTACTTCATTTCCATATCTGTCAACACACCAGCACTGCCCAACACTGCCATGGCATTGTGTTGGCTTGTAGTAACCATCGTCATCACACAGGGGGATGTATTGTCCTATGAAACAAAAACAGTCACAAACACATACATATTTTATGAATAAGTTGAGCACCTTTCCATAGGTATGCACTATGGATCGATGTACTTAAGACATACGCTTGTGGATGCCCCACCATCTTCCACACTATATACTAGTGATACCTGGGGAAGAAAACAAGAAGTCTCTGCTTCCATGGAACTTTCATTGCCATAAGGAACTGTTTTCATTTCATGGGTTCATATGCTGAATTAAGTAAATTAGTATTTTAACATTTGTCACTCTGGAAAGGGCAGTTTTTCCAGAGGTGTAACGCAGAATTAAAATCTGTTTAATGCTATGCTGATATCAAACAATTTGGACCACTTACTATGGGATCCAAGACCCTTCATTATCTCATCATTGCCAACTTTCTAATTTCAATTTTTTCATTTATATTTCCAGATCTTTCTATATTAAGCTATCAATTTCCTCTCAATTCAATGCTGCTTCATCTCTTTGCACACTGCTTCTCTTAACTGGAATCCTTCCCTCCCTCTTTCAGTTTAAAGCTCGACTTAAGTGTGACTGCAATATGAAGGCTTCTTTAACCGGAGGAGATAGTGTTACATCTTTTCCACTGTGAGTGGTGAGTGTGTTCATGAGTGTGAGAGTGCTTAACTAAACTTATGTGTCTGTTTGTGTAGATTGTCATTGCAAAATTTCACCTCTGTGATGACCTTAACATCTAGAACTGTTTCGGTTCTTTGGCTGTCACTGATGTATAAATCCACATACTAGTGAGAACACAGTCTAGTAGAATGAGTGGGAAAGACTGATAATCATTTTTCTATCTCTAACATCTCACACTGTATATATTACATTGTGGGGCCATGTCTGCCTCGCAAGCACAAGGTCCTGAGTTCGATCCCTGGTACCAAAAAAAACAAAAACGAAAAACCCTCCAACATTAGAATAAAAAAACCCTCCAACACTAGAATAAAAATTCTAAAAAAAACCACTAGAATAAAAATTCTAGGAAAGTATAATTTTTTATTGAATTTTCTGATCTTTTTATTTCTGTGATTAGAAATGTCACAGTTATATGGTAAAAGAAAAAAAATAACCAAATGAATTAATAAAATATCCAATCATGTGGAAACATAATTTTACCCTGATAAATAGTTCTGATAGATGATCAACTTCATTTAAAAAATTATAATTCCTTTGTGAGATTTGAGTTACTTGTCTTTCAATGAGATTGATTAAATTTGCTAATAGGGAAAAATTGTGAACTTCTTCTAGGGATTTACCCCATCAAAGCTGAGAAAGAAGTCAACTTCCTAATATCTACATCTTTAAAATAACATTATTTGACATGAAATTATCATCTTTTTATGCCAGTACATTTAGGAACTGAAAAAGAACACTGTAAAGAATTATAGTTGTACTTCAGAATCAATGGAAACCTAAGCTGCAGATTGGAACATGCAACATTCTAATGTTACATAGCAGCTCATCATTTCTCAGATATGCACCATTATCCCACCCAAATCAGAAGAAACATTTGAGTCATTCAGTACTTCTAATAATTATTTTCTTTTCTTTTTTCCTGGTACTTGGGATTAGACTCAGGTCCTTGTGCTTGTCAGGCAGGCATGGCACCACTGAGCTACATTCCTGGTCCAATAATTATTTTAAATTATATTATGAAAGGAGAGTCATAGTGACTCCTCCCAGTGTGCAAGACATGTGCTTTGTGGTTTTGAAACTTAAAAGAAAACCTACATTTTTACAGATTAACAGATTTTATAGTAATAATAGAACTCAGAGGAGTCTAAAATATTTTTCAGTTGAATTTGAATGACTTTTCTCATTGTATAGGAAAAAATTTTGATATGCAGAGATACACTTAAGAGTATATTTACCACTTGTAAGCTATAATTTAGCAACTATTTTGTAATGAATTATGGGAAACAGGATATATTACAGTTTTTAATCATCAGTTATTTTACACAACTAAAAAAATCTTTACTGTACACCATAAAAGTTTTATTTTACACAATGAGCACTGAATTGAGGATTTTCAAGTAACATGAAAAATTATTTTCAGCAAAAGATAGTATGTTGTAATTACATAGATAGGACTTCAAAATTATAGAGTAATGAGATCCATTTGTGCTATTAAATATAGAAATGCATTAATATAAATGAAAAGAAATACTGTGTGGTATCTTACTTTGGCGACTAAAAGGAATTCCAGTGGTGAAATGCAAAATAAATTAGTAGAATCATAGCAAAATTAATTTCTCACATTTTACAAATTTGCTACAATAATTTGGTGCATGGAAAACGTTATCTTTCCAAAGATTGGTGAAAGACTTATGAAAAGTTTATACTATCATTATGTATTTAAGAAAGTAAAATTATTCTAAAGTATTTATTTAGAAATTACGTTGACAAGACTAAACAATAATCAAATATCGTAGTGTAGTGATCTGTTAGTAGTCAAATATTCACATATTTCAAAGCTCTGGGTGAAATTTGCAATTATCTACTTATCCATCTGTCCATACAAATTATATCACCTTGCTAAACCTAAGGTAGTAAAAATACCAATGAAGAACATTAAAAAAGTGGGCTCAAATTCTCTGAGGTACCCAGAACTATTTTTCACTCCATCTTTAAAAATTTTACTTTAAATGACGTATATTATCATAGGTACATAATAACATTAATTCTTAAATTTGTAGCCACAGAATTAGAAGTTTCTGCTGATGCTTTAACTTTAGTATTGTTTAAATCTCTCTTTTTTTAAACTTAATAACTTGCAAGATGAACATTACATTAGGGTAATAAAACAGACATAATATCTTTCAATAGGAGTGATAATAAAAGTAAGTTTAATGGCTTTCAAAAAGTTCATAAATTTTGTGACTCAAATTTAGTGCAGTTTATCTTTGTTGGATTAATATTGATTTTATGTTGCTGTTTCCCTGGGGTTATTTATGTAAGCAATAAAGCCTTCAGAAGAATGAGCGATTACTCACCCAGGAGCTTCTTTACCCCTTGTCGCTTCTGAATATTGCTGAGCTCCGTCTGGCAAGGTGGGTCTGCAATGAGAATAAAAATGTTACTCAAGGATTCCAGTTAAATAAAGAATATGTACTTTTTATATTATCAAAATCTTAACATCCCCTGTATTATATGATCTCACTTCATTTATATAATGATGTATATATGGTTACCATAAAAGACATTATTGCATTTTTATATCAAAAAAATTGCTCTTACTGATACATAGAAACTGCATTATAAAATATTAAAATAGCAAAATCATAAATAAATTCCTATTGTCCATCACTGGCTAATGTTAGATAAAATATAAGATAAAACTGGTTCAAAGAATTTTGAAATTACTTAATATACCAACTTCAAAATATTGAATTATGAAATGATATATGAGTGATGAGAAGGGTGAAGCAGTAAGATATGGTGCTGAACCTATGTCTCATAATTTAGTATGTGAATCAAAATTACTTCTCCTGGCAGGGTCTAAAATGGGAAGAAGTAATTTGTTTAAAAATCATGAAGAGTTAACTAATTGATTTACTTCATCCTTAAAATTGTCCTTTGTTTTTTCTAATAATCTTATTAATTTCTTATATTAAGTATTAAAGGTGTAGGACTCAAGATGGATGGCATGAGCATATAAAATAGAAGTATAAAATTTTGATGCCTTCCAAATGTGATATCTCAGAAATGAAAGGAAACATTCTAGCTGAATTTTTAATATTGAAAGCATTTCTCTTTTCTATGGGCTAGTTATTGTAAGGTAGAAATGACATATGCTATATATTCACTATCTGAAAATCAAGCTACATTTGACTCTGATTTCTTGTTGATGACCTCACTGAATTAGCTTATCAGTCCTGAAGTTCCGTATAAGGGTAACTTTAGTATTTCAAAAGAAATTGTGAGCAGCTAGGCTGTTGAACTACATAAAATATTTGATTGAAATTACACTCTTGTTACTATTTAGAAGCTACCTCTATAATTCTATTCTTTTAAAAATTATTTTTTCTCTTTTAAAATATCCTATTTTTATTAATGTCAATTTTCATATACTTGTTTAGTTTTTTTCCCCATCTTTCAACACATACTGTACCTAGACTCTGTTTAATTACCATTCCATTCTCAACTTCCTTGAGGTCAACTTTTTGAGCATTCACATATGAATTTTAATTGTTCATGTATGAATAACAAAAACATGTTATGATCACACACACATAAATACTAAAATGCCATAGCAAAATGCCACCATCACAAAAGACTACATGTCTTTACTGAAACATGCCTAGATTTGCTACCTTTTCAATATTTGACTTATTTAAATGTACACCATTTATTAATACTAAGACATAGTTATAGTTTTCTAGAATTGTTTAATAACATAGAAAGTATAAATATAATATAACCAACATATGTGTTTATGTGTGTAAAACTTAAAATATTTTGTTTTTGGTTTTGGTACCGGAGATCGAACTCAGGTCCTTGCGTTTGTGAGCCAGGCGGTGGAACCACTGAGCTAAATCCCTAGCATTTAAATAGTTAACAAAGGAATCCACTTTTTAAACTTTGCCTAAAGTGATTTATATGTAGGCTGCTCAACTAATCCAGTTGACATAGGAGTCATCAATTTATAGATAATCATTTGATCCTTAATTAATAAACTATTGCTAAATATGTAAATATAATTGGTGTAGTGAAATATCCTATACAGTGTGTTCATGTGTCCATGTCAAATATGAGATTCCTCAATACAGGTTAAATAAATTTATCATTCATATAGCTGTCTAAATTCTTTTACAAGCAATGTTAAAATGAAAAATAGATTATACTTGTGGGATTAGGGTGGGCTTCCTTTAATGGGAAGTGGAACAAGAGATGGAGGAAGAGGAAACTGAAAGAAAAAAGTGGAAATAGAGCTTTTGCCAACAGGAGGGGGAACAAGAATTTGAAGGAGCAGAGAGGGATATAAGGGGTAGGGGATGAAAAAGGAATTGAGATGTGTTACATACATGTACCAACTCCACATAATAAATAATAATTAATAAATAGTCATTATGTACTGGACACATCATTATGTACTCATAAAAATGTTTTTAAAAAAGCAGTGGTACAGTAATGAGTGTACCGCCCCAAACTAATTTCCAGTTTTTTCAATTTAACATCAAAATTACACACAACTTTGTTTCCTTAGTTCCTCCAAATTTCACCATAATATGAGTCTTTTAGATGTATTTCCCTATACATTTTAAATATAAATTAAAATTCCTTTAATTTTGATTTTACAAACATTCACACTTCCTAGTTAAAAAGGAATTTATAAAGGTCCAACATCATTCCAACTCTTCTTCGCCCCTCACTGTTCCAGAGTATTGAAAAGTGTCTTGCAGACATATAACAATAAATAACAAAAATAAAATAAAGATAAAGTTAGGTCATATTGAAAATAATTGTATTTTAATGTGCACATTTAAATTATGCATATTCTAAAGATGCTCAATATTTCTCATACAAACTTTATTGTAATACATACTTTCTTTGCCAATGAATCTGTAAAAAGCTAAGGTATTTGAAAATGTTTAAAGACCAAGTCATTTTAAAATAAAATGAGTAAAAATAACTTTACGGTGAATTTGTGGTTCATTCAGCTCATTTAATAAGATCACAAAATAGAACATTAAAACGCCACAGTATAGTGATAAAAAACCCATTTATTTTACACCATGGGCAAAGCAGATAGCAAATTAATTTTAATGATTACTTTTAATATCTATGTTCTCATATCTCTGTGTGTTTCTTGGTGGTTCATAATGGAAAGTATAATGAAGTACATTAATATAAAATATTAATTACTATTTTCATTTTCTTTAGCAAGTTTTCATATTTATCAGTTATGTTTTCAACATGCTGCTTATTTGCTCTTTTATTAAACAGTCAAGTAAGGAAAAATTCTCAACAAGAATGAGACATAGCATCCTCTTATTCTTCTATCATAAAGCAATAGATAAGATTTGAAATGCAGGTCAACTATTTGCACCTAAAGGTATCTCATCTTTTACCTTGCTGTCTCTGGAAGCAGTAGCACCATTCATTGTTTGATATCAAACTGTCCTTGTATGTGTCGCAAGAATTGAAGAATGCCTTAGTACATTGTTCATTCTTATCAAGGTAAATGCTCCCAAGCTCTGACTGGTCCAACAGCAGGTCATAGTTTGTATCAAGTCTATTAAACATCCAGCCAAGTGAGTCCTTGCAAATTGGCAAAATGCTTGTATCGAATCCTAAAGCAAAGACAGAAAATGATTAACTGAACATGAATGATGGTGTCATCAGAAAGTAAAATAAAGCAACACAGATGTAGTTGCTACAGACTCCCTACTGGGTAGTCAGAGAAGTAGGGCTTAAACACATCTTGAGTAATTTTTTTCAAAGTAAAGTGCATATAGTAATATTTACCTTTTAGAATATTTATGAGGATGAATTAGCTATAAAGCCTCAGGTACTAATTAGTAATTCATCTAATAGCAGTTTTTATTATAATTATGTATTATTTACATTTTATTGTTCAAGCTTTTACTGAATAAACAGTATATCATGATAAATCTCTTAATAGATTATTATTGTCACATATTATGACATGTTACCACTAAATAATAACACCATGTTGCAAACAACTAAAATTAACTTTAATTCAAATAAAGATGCCACTTTCACAAAAGCATAAGTAACATCTAATAACTAATAACTTCAATAATATCTTTGTATAGTATATCTTTGTCTTTGTAGAACTATGATGATTGCAATATTTCATATAAACTTCTTGGCCAGAAAAAGAATAAACATCATGTGTTACAAATTACTCCAGTGTTATGCTACCCTCAAGGCAATTTTCACAATCACAAATATGTTATAATGGGAGGCAGTCAGGTCACTGTGCGGGAGTAGTTACAGGGAGATGACAAACTGGGTTTGTATTACAGCAGCATAACCCAACATGGGTAATTCTGGGTAAGTCACAGACAACACTGAGCTCAGTGTACAAATAGTATCAGATAGAATATCACTGTTTTGAGCAATTATAAAATAATCCAGAATCTAAAAAACGACATGTACCTCCAAGAAGCCAAAGGAGGTCAGTCGTTCTTACTCATGACAAACACCCACTCCATACAAGCTAATATTAATTCAGTTAAATTTCTTAACAAATTGCTAAAGGCTGAGTGTAGGTCACCACTACAGTAAACAAAAAGAAGCCACAAATAGAAGAAACCATCTCAATTAACTGCCATTTTCCCCCAAGCCTCAGTGAGCTCTCTAAAAAAACAAGGAAAGAAGAGAGAAACAAGGAGGTGAGAAGGGTACATCCATCTTCTCCATATGGGACAGAGTGGAGAAGTCCTAGGGAAGAGCCAGATATTGTGCCACTGTGTGGGAAAGATAAGGATCTGCTCCTTTCAGGGAGAAGGAAAATAATTTTTAAAAGTACTGTGCTTGGGAAAGATTGAAGAGAATATCCTGACTTCAGACTATTAGAGAATTCCTACTACTGACAGTGATGTAGGATAGTGGAGAAAGAGGAAGAGAAAGAAGAAGAAAGAAAAAACATTTAAGAGCTATAGAAAATTACCAAATACTTTAACAGGGAAGTAATTAAGTGACACAAAGAGAGGAGAGAATTAAAGTGGGATATGGAAAATATTTCATAGATTAATGAGAAATCCCAAAAGTAATGAATGAATCAAACCACATTTAAGAATCTTAGAGGACACCAAACAGAATAATGAATCAACCAACAAAGCAAACAATTAAATAGAATTTGGACACATTATAGTTAAATTAATCAAAACCAGTAATAGGAAGGAAAAAAATTAAAGCTTCTAGAAGCAAAATACGTGTCCTTCTAGAGGAGCAAGGGTAAGAACATAGCAGAGATAAAACCATGGAAGTCAGAAGAGAAGAGTGACAAGGATTGCATTTTGGAAGGAAAATAAAGCTCTCAACCCAACATTCTTTTTAAAAAGAAAGAAGAGATGCCTTTTTGAGAAAAACAGCAAACATGAGTTATAAAAATATTTTTAAAATGGGCTTCTGGAGTAGAATACATATACTAGGCAGAAACTTCACTCTACTGAAAATATTAAAGCCTTCTAGAAATAGCATCATTAAAGATATAAATTCAAATTTTTATTTTAAATGGCTTTAGCATAATATAATGTCTAGTCCAAAATTAGTAATATACTATATGTTTATGGATATACGAAAGCAAAACATTTGTCAAAAAGAGCACAGAATGCCAGAAAAATTGGGAGTTGTGCATCCTCATTTACATATATATATATATATATATATATATATATATATGATGGCAAAAATATTTAAAGGTCTAGTGTGACAAATTAGGTTTGTGTTTTTTTTTAATCCTAGGGTAACCATTAAAACACTTTTAAAATACAGATAACCCTGTTCACATAAAACATTAAATCATAAAATATAATTGTTCCAAAACAAGACATTGTAAGAAAGAAAAATGGCAGGGATGAAAAATATAAAAATCTACTAGAAAGTAGATTGCAGTTAAACTATTTCAATAACTAAATTAAATATAAATGATCTGAACATATCAGATAAAGTACAAAAAATGTCATATTGGATTAAAGAAAGCTTTCCTCAAGAAAATAATTAAAAAGGCATATTAAGCAGAAATAAAAAAGATGGAACAAAGTGTCATGAGAGCACTAATGAAAAGAAAGCCAGAATGAACATATAAATAATAAATCTGACTTCAGTATAGAAATGTGATCAGGATGAAATGGAACATCACATAATGATAAAAAGTTTCACAAGCAGACACAATGTCTCTGAATATGTAATGTATCTAAAATTAAGTCTCAAAATACCTGAGGTAGAAAATCTAAAGAAACCTAAGAGAGGAATAGGCAAGCCCTTAATTTCATCTGCTGATTTTGACACCCTTCCATAAACAAGCAATACAAGCAGTAGATAGGTGAATGTAATGCTATAGAAGATCTGTACAACATTATCACTTATCATCAGATAGACCTAATTTATATTGATAGAAAAGTCCTACAACTAATGACAACCAAAGTTCCTTTCAGGAACATACGGAACATACTCTAGGTCATTAAACCTTCACAATATAAAAGAACAGAAATCAAACAAAGTATTATACAAGAAAACACAAAATTTCGGGGTTTTTTCTTAAATTCTTTTATTGGTACATTTTAGGTATACAATACGTTTACATTTATCATTGGGTGCTTGTACCTGTACATGATGTATCTTGGTTCTTATTTTTTTCCCCATTACCTGTGCACCCTTCACCCCCTCCACCCTTCCCTATTTACATAGACTTCATTTCCATTTTTTTTTCTTTTCTCATAGTTTTTCTTTTCCCTCCTTTCCTTTCCCCTTCCCCTCCCGTCACCCCTTCATCTTTGAACCTTTTTTCCTATTTCAAATTATCAATTATTCATTTTAATCATTTTAACCCTTGTTTACACTATCAGTTTCTCACACTAGAGAAACTATTTGGTATTTACACGTGTGTCCTATTTATTTCACTTAAGAGAATGGCCTCGATATGCATCTATTTAGCTATAAATGACTCTAGTTAGAAAAAAACAAATTTCTGCAATAGATATCATTAACAATAAGAAAGGTAAATATATATATATATATTACCTTACATAAATATATATCTATTATACACACACACACACACATATATATATATTTATCTTGAAAGGAAAATCCAGTCCCCCAAAAATAACATGGGTCGAATGATTGCTAAGACACAATTTTGAATCAAGAGGAAAATATAATTTTTCAACAGAATCTTATACTATATTAATAAATTATTGCATGAGCTTTTGTCACTTTATTGTAAACCACTAAATTTATCCAAAATTTGAGATGTAACTGTAAGTTTTTGTACAACACAAAATTATGCTACTGGTAAAAACTTATTAGAATTTACCAAATCCTCAGTAGCATATTTTTACATTGCCATATGAACCTTTGCTCTCAACTGCTAATGATAAAAGTTCTAATCTGTTAAATCACTATGAAAATTCATATAGTGAATGGCTGTTCCTGTTTAGAAAAATTTCACAGAGCTTTAAAAATGTATTAAATCCACTTTAATCCTAATCTACAAATAGATAATAAACAGCAAATATAACTGGTAATTTTCAACACTGTAACAAGCTGAGGTAGGAATGGTAGTGCACACAATTCAAAATGAGGAAAATTAATGAAAATTCAATGGAAGTCCATGCTTTCACCTATTATGGCAATTGTTTTAATGCTTTGAAAAAGTGAACATTCATGCTTCAAAGTACAAAGGGCAAGATCTACTGTTTACCCCTCTGATGTACTGCAAGTAGAAACATTCTCTTTTGTAGGATTTTTTAAAATTCATTAATTTTATCGGTACTTTTTCGGTATGCAATGTGATGGCATTCATCACTGGGAATTTGTACCTTTGTATGATCTTGGTTCTTATATTTTTCCCCATTCCCCTGCCCTCCCTTCAACCCCTCCACAACTTCCTATTTACAGACTTTGTTTCCATTTTTTTTCCTTTTATCATATTTCGTTCTTTCCCTTCTTTTCTTTACACTACTCCTCCCACTTCCCTTTCCCCTTTGGACCTGGATTTTGAAGCATGTCCATAACCACTGTACAACAATCACTTCAAGATTAACCAGTTATCTTTTGTCATATAAATGAATTGTGGACAACTTTAAAAATTTAAAAATATATTCATGCTGGAATAGAGAGGTCAGGATTTTGTGAGAAAATGCTTTCTTACAGAATGTACGCTAAGATACATACATTAAAGTCTAAACAGAAAAGAAATAAAGTCCAAATGAAAATATAGTGAGCAAATATTTACAAAACAATGAAGTTTTATAACATGAAATTAATTAGACAATAATAAGCAAGCAGCTGCATACTGCGTATACTATGGTTTCATTCATGTTAAAAAATGCTACTGTCTTCCATGCTGGCACATGCTTGCTATTCCACCACTACGGGAGGTTGAAATAGGAGGATTGCAAGTTTGAGCCCAGCCTGAAAACCTTAGCAATTTAGAGAGTCAGTGTCTCAAAATAAAAAATAAAAATAAAATATGGTTGGGGATTGAGACTCAGTGTAAAATCCCTAGAGACAATCCCCAATACCAAAAAATAAAGTTATATGAGTATATATTTTATAAGCATGAGGTACAATTGGAAAATTATATGTAGGCTGCTAA